TAGACCTGTGGAGCTGGAAGGGGACCCTCTGGATCACAGAGTCCTCCAGCCCCTCTCATGGAGGCCCCGTGAGGGATTGAACTCCCAACCTCTGTCTCCACAGCCAGAGACCTCAACCCCATAGCTCTCGAGCATGTTTTCTCATCAGATGGTGTGGTTTAAGGTGGGACTTGACAAGAGTTCAGTCGGAGACGAGAGAGCTCCTTATGTGATACGGTGAGGCCAGCAGCCCCCTCAGCATCAGTGTGAGCCTCCTTGTAACCCCCTTTTCCAGGAAGGGTATTATCACCACATAATAGCAACAAGCTGCCTTTGGGGCTTAGGTAACGCTAATCGTTTCTCGGCTGGTCCAAAATGACAGGTCACGCACAAAGTTATTTTCTAAAATAATGACGTTCCTAAGCCAAGCGGTGCCTTCGTCGCCTTGACAGTGTCTTTCTCTGTGATTAACACGAGGTCATTCCACCTTTGGCTCTCACCTGGATCGTGTGGTGAAGCGCATAAATGAGGCTCAAAGGTCATTCCACCTTTGGCTCTCACCTGGAAGCGCATAAATGAGGCTCAGACACTACGATGCAAGCAGACTGTAGCACTAACACATTGGGGTCCCTTCCCCCCCCAAAAAAAATCAGATTTGTTTCGAGTGAATCCCGTTAACTTTATTTTACATTTTGGTTCTCATTCCACAGAAGCATTCAAATAAACCGTAGGCTGCATCGCATTTCAAGGATGGGTGGGCAGGGTCGGGTGCTGCCATATCAGATTTGACATCATTGCCTGGGCTGATTTTCACAACACCTCTGACTCTCGAAATACAGCAGAACAGGGGACCTCCGGACCTTTCTCCCTATCCACTGGGCTCTGGGTTTTGGCCACGAGATGTGACCTTGGGAAGTCCCTCGGGCTCAGCCTGATCTACCTCATAGGTAGAAAAACTCAGGAAGAGGGCCCCCATTGAACGCCCAGGAAGAGGGTCCCCATTGAACGCTCTAGAGCAGTTTGCCAACCTGTGGGTCATGACCCCCAAGGGGGTCACGAAGTCGTGGGTCACCCCCAACCTGTGGATCATGACCCCCAAGGGGGTCGCGAAGTCGGTGTCGTGGGTCACCTTATATGCATCACACCCCTTGTTAAATAATTTCTCCCTTCACCTTTTGGAGTGAGATATTAAAATGAGTATGTCTATGTATGTACGAGGAGCAGGCCCTTTGGGGAGAAAAAAGCCTCAAACTTTCTCAGGAGGGGTGGCCGTACCCTGTTAAAAATGTATTTTTAGGCCTACATGGTGGGAATTGTGAGTTACATGGCTGTTATGAAATGGGGTCATGACTCAGAAAAGGTTGGGGGCCACTGTATCTTGAGGAAAAAATAGGATATAACTGTACTAAAGTCTAGACCAAAAAAGTAAGCAGGATATCTTATTCTGTTTGGAGATTCAGCACCCCGGAGAGCTCCTTGCAACTCCCAACGCTAAGGAACAGGATTTCAGATGGCATATAAAGGACCTCAGTAAACCTCACACTTCTTTTCTTAATTCTGTTAAAAAGATGTTCTAACAGTTGCTTATTTTGGCCAGCTTGTATCTTACGGTGTTTAAATGATTTCGTCTCCCCACTAGAAAGTGGGAGGGAAAGAAACCCCGTCTGCCTTCAAGGAGACTTTCCACCCCGACACCCTCCTCGTGCGTAGGGGGAGTCGAGAATTACTAATAGGGAAATTACCAGCTGTCCTCCATTTTGGGGGCAGGAATGTTTCCAAATAATACATTTTTAGAAGCTTCACCTGCAATTACAGATCTTCATATAAGAACATTTTGGGACTCAGTAAAAAGACTTGCGAAGCTGTAGAGGATTACAGGAGAAAAGAGATCATGGCGTGAGGCATCGGCGGTTCAGGAGCAAAGAGATGGAGCTGGTGAGAAAAGCATCTTTCCCTAGCTTCTGACCCGGTTCAGCTGGATGCAGGAACACAGAAATCACCAATATGTTGCCTTCTCTCCCAAAGAGACTGCGTTCCTTCTTTTAAAGTTAGACCTCCCTGTGTAAAGCTGTCAGTCTTTTTCCTGCTCTTGCTTCAGAACTTCTTACCATGGATTTGTTTTCTCCAAGTGATGACCCCAGTTTTAGAGTACAAGAAGAGGTATACAGTGGTGCCCCGCTTAATGATTACCCCGTTTAACGACAAAATCGCTTCACGACGATGTTTTTGCGATCGCTATTGCGATTGCAAAACAATGTTTCAAAGGGCTTTTTTTTGCTTCACGATGATCGGTTCCCTGCTTCGGGAACCAATTCTTCACATTATGATGGTTTTAAAGCAGCTGATCGGTGGGTCGCAAAACGGCCACCTGCTGTGCAAAATGGCTCCCTGCTGTGTTTTAGGACTGATTGCTCGCTTTACAGGCACCAGAAAATGGCTGCACTATGGAGGATCTTCACTGGACGCTGAGGTATTTCCCCCATTGGAACGCACTGAGCATTTTTCAATACATTTCAATGGGCTTTTTACTTTCGCTTGACGAGGATTTCGTTCTACAGAGATTTCGCTGGAACAGATTAACATCGTCAAGCGAGGCACCACTGTAGACTCTTTAAAACGGCATCAAGGATGATGTTCGCTGCACCGCATCTCCCTCCCAGATGGCCTTTGGTTGGTGGTACTTACCTATCTGAGCCCTGTAGAGCAGTGCATCTCAATCTTGGGTCTCCAGATGTTCTTGGACTACATCACCCAGATATCCCAGCCAGCGCAGCTAGAGGCGAAGGCTTCTGGGAATTGCAGTCCAAGAACTGTCTGTTGCCTAGCAAGTCCTTCTTCACGCGGAAGCAGGAATAGCCACGCTGGTGCCAAATACTGAGGCGATGGGGCCAACCAACAAGACACAAAAGGTGTGCAGAGGAATGTAAAAACACGATGGAAGGAGCGAAGGAGAAGGAAGAAGGCAGGTTGGCGGCCTGCGTGTTGTGTGATAGGAAAGGGATGTGGCAGAAACGTGAGCCCGGGGAGGGGGGGTTGATAAGGAATCAGAAATATGATAAATCTTGCCTTTTCTTCATTTTCTGGGGCACCCCCTCACTTTTCTTGAACCTTGTTTAACTCCATGTCTTTCAGTCTCTTGTGATGGTGGACAGGAGCAGGATGACCCGTGTCCTTTGTTTGCTATCGGTGTTCTGTATTACTGTTTTATTTTGTATATCTTTGCTTTAGTGAGTCCCCGAGGGCCCTCAAGCATATGCGATACAAAGGGAAAGAGAGTTAACGATTGTTTTGGAAGATCGGCTTATGAATTCCACCGTGGTGGCGAATTCTGACATTGAACCCCCGGAATCGAAAGGCTGGGGGAGATGGAAGATGTTCGGGAGGAGCACTTGAGCATTTTCGACAAGCTCAAGGAGCCGGTCCTGCCCTCATTACACCTGGGAAAGAAGGCTTTTAAGCTGTCAGCTGCATCTCCTGCTGTTGTGGCTCTAATTGCTACCCAGGGGACCAGCCGCCACGCCGACTGGGGCCAAGAACAGGGAGAGACCAGGAGCCGTTCTCTCTTCCTTGCGAGGGCGCAGAGAAACTCAGAATTAGATATAGGAGCCTTATGCTCAGGGAGGGGCCCTTCTCTCTCCTAGATACCCAAACTCTGCTGTGACAGCATCAGCCCCACCCTAACCTGTACATATGGAACCACCGATAAAGAATATGCTTTACAGAATAAAGATTTTCCCCCCAATTGATATGCCTGATGCTGGTTAGAGATTTGTGGCTACAATTTTTTGGAGGTCACTCATTCATAGGACTGTCATAAGTCGGAGGCAACTTAACAGCACGTCACAACGATGACAGCTGCCATTTTGATATGCAAGGAAGGAGCCGAGCATGGAGCAGAATGGACTGGTGTGGAATACCATATGAGGGAGCTGTTCTTCTTGACTGCTGAATCCCTCCGGCTGCACGTCCCTTCCAAATTGGTTCTCCTCCTGCACTGCCTTCTGGAGGATTTGTCAACGAACTGCATTTTAACCAAGGGGGCACATCTTCTGGGTTCCCATAGTAATAATGTGCAGCGGGGTAGATCGCTGTTTTAGCTTGTTGTTGCAGCAAAAATAACAAAGGGGCTGGTGCCATCTGAAAGTCTACGAGGTTTTTGTTTGGCAACAGCTTTTGTGGACTGCTGTGTACATTGGCATCTGGCAAAGTGCGACAGGGCTCCCCACAGCAACAGCAATTGTTCCCCAGGAGTCCAGATCCTGCACCTAGAAAAACCAACTTCTGTAGCATCTGTAAATGATGAGAAAAATGAACTCATTTTCTTTTCTTTTTGGTATCTTGCACGATTGAGGGTCTTGCAGAATTCCTGTTCTGCTCGTTCAGCGGTAAAAAGAGGCATCAGGTCTCCTTGGCTCACCCAGTGGTGACACTTGACCATCTGCGGGTGTGTGTGTCTGTGTCTGTGTCTGTGTCTGTGTCGCCTTGAGTTCACGGGAAGCGAGGTGGGAGGCAACATAAAGCAAACAAAGAAGAATAAAATCATTAGCTGTGCTGTGACCCTCCGATAGGTTACTAGCTTTGTTTTTATTTTGTTTATTTTATGCACTTAACATTTGTCTTACAGCCCATAATAAGCTCGAAGGGAGAAGAGGGCTAGTGGGTTGTCGGCAAAGGTTACGTGACTTCAGTTTGACCAGAGCAGCGAATAGGGTCTGGGCTTTCATCCAAACTTTAGGAGAAGGGCCTAGTGTCCTGCATCTGTTGCAGAGAGAGGGTTCGGCCCTTTGAGGCGGTTTCCATAAAGTTCAGGTCGAAACAAGCAGCGTCTTCAACCTCCGCCCCCAGCAGGGAATGGGTGCCGTCCACCTCCTCTTTGGACTTGCTTCACGGAGAGCACAGACGCCTCCCTTTCGCCCAGGAGCAGAGCTGCGCCCTCCCTGCGGCACCCCCACGCACTCTTCACAGATCCCCTGTTGACCTCGGATGTGCTTGTTTCCCCCCACCCCGCATCCCACTTGCAGGCCTGCCGGGATTTCCTGGAGTTAGCCGAGACCCACAGCCGGAAATGGCAGCGGGCACTCCAGCATGAACGCGAGCAACGGATCCGCCTCGAGGAGACCATTGAGCAGCTAGCCAAGCAGCACAACAGCTTGGAGCGGGCCTGCCGAGGCGCCCCGTCTCACTCCTCGAGCACCACCATCCACGCATCCAAAGGTGAGGATCCCCGGGGCCCGCCTGGCAGCTCCTCAGCTCCTTTTCTCCTTGCGGAGCTGTTACGCTGCCTTGTGTTGTGGGCTGGGTCCTTCTCTGCTGTCCATCACGTTTGTGTGTGTGTGTGTGTTGTGTTTTGCGCAAGGTGTGTGTCTACTGTATCTGGTTGTGCCATTGCACCCACGGATGAGACTTCTGGTTTGGTGCAAATGTTGCAATCGCTTGCGCAGGCTTCAGGTTGCACCGGAGTCGCCGTGCAGTAGGATTGGGGCCAAGGAATTAATTCCATCCACCTCTGGAGGTCAAGCGATGCCGTTAAGAGGCCGACAATGGAACCAGTCACAGCCAGGCGCTCTAGAGGCACCCCCAAATTTCAGGGGCTAGGGTTTCAGTGGGTGCCATTTGCCTTTCAAAAAGATGTGCTGCTGGGGTGCCCTTGTGTCGGTCGTTGTTTGCTACTTTCAGGAGCAGTGGCCGAAGCCCTGTTGTGGGGAACTGTGCCACCAGTTTCCCCTAGAGATGGGGGGGCTTTGCATTTGTATACCAGTCCTCCTGCCTCTTGCTGGAGTGGCCGGGCGAACAGGGAGGCAGGGCTGTGGCCGCCAGGATCCGGGCACAGTAGGTGACACTGGCCACACTCCTGGTGGTCCAGCGGGTTCTGGGACTGGGAATTAATCGGGCCAGCCACCTATGCCGGCGGGCTTCGTATTCGTATATGAACACAAAGCCCCCATCTCTAGTTTTCCACAGTTTTCCAGTTGTGCACTCAATGGCGTGACCAGTTGCACAACTAGACGACTAAGGAGCCTGTGACTGGCAGCTGGCAAGCTGTCTCCTGTTGCTTGTGCAATTGTGGTTAACCCAGCTGTGTGACACAGTAGGATTCTGACCCACCGAGAACCGTGTAAGTGTGGTCCACCCATATCTAGCACCGACGATGAAATTTGGGGGAAAATGGCTTAGTCGCAAGAATAAACAAAAAATAGAACATGGGGACATTTCTAGTTGTGTGCTTTTCCTCCTCTGTCTTTTTATTTTTACTGCATTGTTTTCCCCTTCCGCTTGTGTGCTTTTCCTAGGTTTGTTAAGGTTTTATGATTTGGGAGTTTGTTTGCCAGCTTTCGTTAAAAGGCAGCGAAGCTGGTCCTGTTTCGGGGTCCTTATAGGATGCTGTGAGAAGTGGGGCAGTCATTTTTGAAGGCGTTCCTGAAGGGAATAGGTTTGCCTGCAGTGGCCGGGTGTCCCTTCTGCCCGTCCGAGGGGCCGCCGTGGTGCGCGGGGTGCTCATCAGCCCGTCTGTCTTTGCCAGGAGGGAGCGTGCAGAGTGTGAAAGGGGAAGCCAGCGACGAAGATGAGGAGACCGAGTACTTCGACGCCATGGAGGATGCGCACGCTTTCATCACAGTAGCTGCCGATCCATCAAAGCACAGGTTGGTATTTTACACACACACATACACAGAGTATATAATGGGTCCCCTTTCATTGTCGGCCATATCAGAGGGGTGCTGTGTCATACTTTTATCCGGCATTTAGAAAACTGATCCTCCTTAATGGTCCATTTGCCTTCCTCTTGAGGGGGAAAAGCCAGCGTTCTTCACTCAGATGGTTCATCTTCTTAGAACTGCAGAGCTAGAAGGGACCCTATAGATCATCCAGTCCAGCCCCTGTCAAGGAGTCCCAGTGGGGGGGAATCGAACTCCCAACCGGTGGTCCTGCAGCCAGAGGCCTCCACCCCTGCGCTAGACAGCGGTTCCTCCATATCGCCCCCCCAATGGCTGCACTCAGTATCCTCGGCTCCTGTTTTGAGGGAAAGGGAGCCCAAAGGGGCCTGGCCAGGCTCTCAGTTCCAGGCTGAGCCAAGACGCGNGGGGGGGGGGGAGATGCGAGAATGCTGGACAGCCTATTTGCATATCAGAATCCCACCTCCATTTGTGACGTTCTGGGCGGCAGGTTCTGCCGGCCCTTCCGCGGCAGGCCAGGGCGGTTCTCTCGCACGGCCCGGAGCGAGGGATGTTCCGCCTCTCCTGCCGATGCCGGCTGTGTGTTCTCTGCAGGCGCACGGACAGCAACATCAGCGGGGCCAGCGAAGGTCGGGCCGATGACTGGAACCTCGATGACAGCGTAAGTGCATGCGAGCACTGCCAGCGGAGCCCTGGGGCACGGCGGGCTTCAGCTTCGAGGTGGGGTGCGGGTGCGGATGGCGGTGGGGTGGGAAGACACCATCGCCACCTCTCTGACCCTGCCGAAGGCCCCCCTGGCTCCAGCCGGGGCCGTTCCTAAGAGGTGGAGGGTCCTGCCTCTTCTTTCGGGGGACGGTGTTCTCCATCATCTTTATCAGACTAGCTGAAGGAAGAAGGATTCGAATACAGGCCCACCTGGGGTGGTGGAGAGGAAAACGGTTGATTTTTCTGGGAAGGCTGTTCTACTCGGAGGAGGTTTTACGCTCCTTCTTCTTAGGTCAGTGGTTCTCCCAGCCTTGGGTCACCCCGGTGTTCTTGGGACTGCGACTCCCAGAAACCCTCAGCTAGCACAGCTGGCAAGGAAGGGAGTTGGGAGTTGCAGTTTGAGAACACTTGAGTTCCCCAAGGTTGGGAACCGTTGCCTTATTAGGTTGCTCTGATTCTCTTGGTTGGCCCTTTGCTTTGATCTATGGTGTTGCTTGACGCGAAGCCGTCTCCCTTGGAGTGTAAAGCCAGGCCATCTTCTTGCTCATTCGCGTCTTGCGCAGAAGGGGCTCCCGGACTCTCAGGTGAGTCCCTGTGCAGGCCTTTAACCGTAATGCCTGCTAGCTCACGTCAAGGCTGTGTTTCAGTGGCCTTCTGCTCAACCCGCCCCAGGATTGCAGCATGAGTGAATTTTTAAAAATTGAATATTTTTGGTAGGGAACTCCAGAGGACCAAGTGCTCAGCAGACATCCTTGGAGGTGAGTCCGCTTGGCCCCCCCTCACCTGAAGAGAGAAAGCGGTGGTGGTGCCACTGGCCTTCTCTCACCCGCTGAAAGCTCGTGGTCAAGACCAAACAATCAGTCAGAACAGAAGGGTAGATGCCTAATGTTCGTGAGCACTGATGTGCGAGCGGGAGAAACTGGGAGAGAAAAGAGGACCTTTTGGTCTTTTCCAAACCGCCGTACGATTCTGTAAGATAGGTTTTACTCCGCAGCGTTGCGCTAGAAGTGGCATGTGGGGATGCTTAGACGAGCTGTAAGGTTTGCATAATTCCTTCTCGTGGAAGGGACTGCTTCCGTGGGCAGAAAGGTGGTTTGGGAACCAGAATTGAGAGGGCCCGGCGGTGGTGTGGTTTGACCGGCCCCGTGAGCCCCATCGCCTCTGCCTCCCCTCCCCTTCCAGGTGTTTGAGAGCTCCAATCAAAGCAGCCATGACACCACGAGCAAAGAGGTCGTGCCCAAGAAGAAGAGGCGGACACGGATCCCGGACAAGCCCAACTACAGCCTTAACCTCTGGAGCATCATGAAGAACTGCATCGGCAAAGAGCTCTCCAAGATTCCCATGCCCGTAAGTCGTTTCTCTCTCGTGTGTGTGTGTGTGTGTGTCCCCCCCTTTGTCTTTCAGGAGCACTAGGCTCAGTCCCTTGGCCTCCCGCTTCGTTGAGGTAGGACACCCGCTCCAGAGAACAGCTTGGCTTTGCCAGCGTCTAGGGGGGGTGAGCAACACACGTGGGCAAAGCCTTTGCTTGGGCCTCTGGGCCACGCAAAGCTCGGGCAGGGAGGAGCAGCCGCAGAGAAGTGGGGAGTGCATGATCATAAGATGCGGGAGGAGGAAAGGAGCGGGACTAGAGCAGAGGTTCCCGACTTTGGGGGACCCAGATGTTCTTGGACAGCCACTCCCGGAAAGCCTTTGGTGCCAGATGTGCTGGCTTGGGGGGTTGCAGTCCAAGAACATCTGGAGAAGTATGGCTCCAGAGGATGAGAGAGCTTTACACTCAGGTTCAGAATCTGCCCTGTGACATGACTTGGCTCGCTTCCGCCCCGTTGCGCTTGGTGTAACCTTCGTCGCAGCACGGACGGTGCTGAGGGTGCACGGACGGTGCTGAGAGAGGGGCCCTCTTTCAAAGACAGGAAGGACAAAAAAGTCATCACTCCTTCAGGAGCTGAGCAGCCTTATTGTAAAGACTATGGAAGTTTTCAATAAAGAGCCATTTGGGGTCAGTGGAAAGGCCTTTCTCTCTCTCGCGACATCCTGTTCCTGCAGTGGCTCCTCACCTGATGCTTCAAGGAAGATTTGCACACACACACTCCAAAACACAACCCTTTTCTTCCTCGTCTTACTGCTGTCCTGAGCAGAGCTTGGAAACATGTCTGCATGACAGACCACCCGTTCTGGCCTGCCATGGTCTCTGGACCCAAGAGTGCCCACCCTCCAGAGTTTCCACTCTCACTGCTCTTAGGAAGGGGGTGAAGGCACTTTTTTAAAAAAATCTGGTGAACTCAGGGCTGGAGGCCTCTGTTTGCAGAACCCGAGGTTGTGAGTTCGATTCCCCCACTGAGCCTCGTTAAGAGGGGCCGGACTGGATGATCCAGAGGGGGTCCCTTCCCACTCATCCGTTCTATTATTGTTAAGAGGAGAGCTGGCCCGTTTGTGTTTCCCACATCTGTCCTGTAGCCTCTACAGCGGTGGTCGCCAACTTTGGGCCTCCAGATGTTCTTGGGCTTTACCTCCCAGAAATCCTGGCCAGCAGAGGTGATGGTGAAGGCTTCTGGGAGTTGTAGTCCAAGAACATCTGGAGGCCCAAGGTTGGGGACCACTGCTCTACAATATGGCCTGTCAGCATTCACCTTTTCTTGCAGGGGGTGGTTTAGGAGGAGGGTGTTCCCTTTCCCAAAACCATCAGCCCTTTCTTTCCACCCACCCTGCCCTGATGGGTCGTGTGTCAGGGGTTGCATAAAGCTTCTCGTCCCACCTAGCAGTGTTGGTGTGTGTGTCTCTTGACCCAGGAATGTGACCTCTTAACAGGTGCTCCAAGATCTCCTAATAACCCTTAGATCGCAGTGTTCAAATAACCCCTCCGCCCTCTACGCGTGTGCTTAGAACTGTCATAGAACAGCAGCAGCTGCCGAAGGGGGTGGCTTTAAATCTGTCACTGGGAGGCTTGGAGCTACAGATGGATTAAAGTCTGTGCCGGAAATGTTCTAAAATGTAATTTCCTTTTTTTGCACGGCAGTCAAGCTTCCTCATGGGCAGGGCACTTTCGGTGCACACGGTGAAAGGCTCGAGTTAACGTGGAGAAGCAGTTTTTAGAAACACGTTTGCTTGTTCGTTAGGCGTGTTTTTCAGTCAGTCTTCTGCAGCAGCGGTTCCCAACCTGGAATCCCCAGGCGTTCTTGGACTACAACTCCCGGAAGCCTTTGCCACTAAGATGTGTTGGCCAAGATTTCTGGGCGCTGCAGTCCAAGAACATCGGGGTGACCCAAGGTTGTGAGCCATTGTGACATTGATCTATTGGGATGGGAAAATTCACTTTTTCGTAGTCCCAGAATCCTAATCTCCCATGTTTCCTGTGGAATTTAGAGAGCTGTAATCAATCAATCAATCAGTCAGTCAATGAATCAATCCCATCCCTGGTGCCCCAATGAGGCTAACCCCTCCTCACCTCCAGTTGTAACAGGCTTGTCACTTCTTATCTTTTCTCTAGCCGACTTTTTTTTTGGAAAAACTTCATCTTCCTTCACCATCCATATCGAAACCAGCTTCCTCTCTGGACAGTGAAAGATACCAGAAAGTTGTTGTACCCGGGAGAGGCTGCTGACTCTGATGTCAGTGTGGGGCGCTGAATCTGTTCTGGGTTTTCGTCCGAACTTTAAAGGAGGTCTCCCAAGTGTGGCACCTACTTTGGGGAGTCAGGCCCAGCACTTGTGGGGAGCTCCTGTGAAGTTTTCAGACTCAAGACTCCTGACGTTAGAGCCGCCAGCCTCCACCGGCTGTCGCTGAAGGTCTTCTGTAGCAGAATTTGTCCTTTCCCTCCCACCGAGCAGCCCGAAAGTACTCGGAAGGTACCCGAAAGTCTCCCCCAGTATTCCTTTCCCACACTTGGCAACTCTGCCTTCTCCACGGCTGCTCCGCAACTGAACAGATGGCCACCCTGGGTTGCCCTTCAAAGCCAGCGTCATCGGTTCTCTCAGCTCCTGCTATGACAGTGTGGAAACCGAGGCTGTGGGATAGACCGAAGAGGCAGCCCTCAAGGGCAGGGTGACCCTCTCAAAGGGCCTCGTTGTGGGAGTTATCGGAGCCCACGCCTCCCGTCGCCGAACCTTGTCATCTCGATAAGCGGCTTTGCAATCCAATTCACAAGGTCAACGCAAGACGTTGTGCGGGAGAGAGAGGAGAAGGGATTAGGAGGACCCACGGCTGGCATTTAAAAAGAGCCGCTTAGACCCATTTATGTTCTCAAGAAGAAGAAGAAAACTCATCTTTTGAAAACCTAGAACTACAGGCAGGGTGATCTTCTGCACACACAACATATGATATTGGGCTCACCTTCTGGGGAATCTCTGCCTTCGTTGGGTCGTTTCTTCAGTCTTAAGTTTTATTGCTCCGTCCCCTTCGGCAAGATCCTGGCAACCTCAATTCCGTTCCTGGGGTGCTGGAATAATTTCCCAGGCGATGCCCACAAAGGGCATAAACCTGCTTCTATGGGTGGACCATCTCTGGTGCCTTGGATGTGTCCCATTTTCCTGGCCGCAGGGAGGTCCAGCCAGCCGGCCAACCCTCCCTCCCATGGACCAGAAGGGCTTTTCCATTTGAAAAAAACACCTGGTTTTGTTTCTCGATGGGTATTTTGCTAAAGGGAGCTGAGGACCTTGAAGAAGGCCTCTTTGTGGGTCTCAGGAAGTCTGAGCCACGTAGGGAGGCAGGATTCATGCTTAGTGTTCCATTGTCCAGGGAAGAACATCTGGAAATCAGTGAAAGCTTCTGTGCACACCCTGAGGTCTTGCATCTGTGGTTTCTAGGTGTCTGGCTGAATACCCAGTTCGGTGGAGTGGGTGGAGTGAGGGACAGGGACTCAGGAGACCTGGGTTCGAAACTCGGCAGAGGCATAGAACGGATCGAACCGTTCCTTAAAGATCTCACTTACCTTGAACGCCCTTTTAGGGTTGCCGTACGTAGGGTTTTTTTTCAACTCGGTGGTCCCCAAACGCAAGACCTTGGGCTAAGCCGGTTCTTTCTCCTGCCTCTGCAGGTGAACTTCAACGAGCCGCTCTCCATGCTGCAGAGGCTGATGGAGGACCTGGAGTACCACGAGCTGCTGGACCGAGCCGCCAAGTGCGAGAACGCCATCGAGCAGATGTGTTTCGTGGCCGCCTTCTCCGTGTCTTCCTACTCGACGACGGTCCACCGGACGGCCAAGCCGTTCAACCCGCTCCTGGGCGAGACCTACGAACTCGACCGCCTGGACGAAATGGGCTTCCGTTCGCTCTGCGAGCAGGTAATCCTCTTCGTCCCAAATACGACAAACCGTGGTTTGCGCTGAAGCCAGAATCCCCCCCTTTTGGGGTTTGTGACACAGATGTTTTGAGGGTGGCAGAACCTGGCTTGCTAACAAAGGGAAAGCATCTGGCTCCTTTCCTTCAGGGGGAAAAGGAGGATGAAGTCCCCACCAGGGCGTGTGCCGTTCATTCTCTCTCTGCTGGGACACAACCGACACAGAGCCACCGCATGTTCTCCTGGCCGGGGTGGGGAAAAGTTACTTTTCATACTGCAATTCACAGAATAACCCAACTGCACAATAGATTTGCTTTCAGTCCAAATTATTTAAATCACAATTTAAATCTTAAAAATTGGATTTTGGATGATTTAATTCTTTCTCAACAGGATGGTGTTTATGCCTTCTCTGGGAGAAAGGAGTGTGACAACAGTAGGACCTCTGGATCCATGGGGGACGGCTTCTGAGCTCACCCATGGATGCTGGAAAATATGGATTACAGTGGTGCCTCACATTGTGACAATCATTCGTGCAGCAAAAATCGCTGCAAAGCGATTTCGTCGCTATGCGAAATAAAAAAGCCCATAGGAATGCCTTAAAACCTGTTTAATGTGTTCCTATGGGATAAAAACTTACTTTTAAGTGAAAATCCTCCATACGGTGGGCATTTTGGGTGCCCGGTAAGCGAGGAATCCATCCCTAAACACAGCGGGCGGCCATGTTTTTTACCCGGCGGCCATTTTGGAACCGCCAATCAGCTGTTTTAAAATCATTGTTTTGCGATGACCGGTAAGCGAGGCAGGGTACCGATCATCGCAAAGCGAAAAAAAAACCATTCAGACCATCGCAAAGCGATCGCAGAAGCGATCCCAAAATCCTCATCGCTATGCGATTTCGTCGTTAAATGGGATGCCCGTTAAGCGAGGCACCACTGTATAGTAAACACCTATAGCAACCATTATACACAGCACAGTCTCTGGCTCCCTCTAGTGACCAGTTCTGGAAACGTCACCTTTAGAAATAGGATTATTTCTAGGACTATTTTTAAAAGATGTTCAATATTTTCAGACCATGGATACTGATCCCGCAGATACTGGAGTCCTGCTGTCCTTAACATAATGCTGTAGGAGATCTGACAAGTTGCTCCGTGTCTTCTCCTAGGTGAGTCATCATCCTCCAGCTGCGGCCCATCACGTCTACTCCAAACGCGGCTGGACCCTGTGGCAGGAAATCACCATTGCTAGCAAGTTCCGGGGCAAATACCTCTCCATCATGCCTCTAGGTAAGCCGTCGCCTCTCCGGGGAGAGCGTTCGGTGTGAGAACGCGACCCTTGTGGCATTGGAGGGCTCGCCAATTTGCGGCTGCCGCTGTGGGTTGTGGGCTGTATTTTCAGCCGCTCAGTTTCTCCCCTCTCTTGGGGATGAGAAGTGGAAACAGCAGGAGGAGCGTGGATGGGAGTGTTAGGCTGTGATGGGAGTTGTGTAGCCAGGGATTGTATATTTCTTCCCCTTTCTCCCTCTATAATTGCATCAGGGAGCCTTGGAACCCCCTTGAAGGCTAGCTGCGATCGTTTGGCATAAGCTTTTTGCGAGCGGTTGCCCGCGGTGCATCTGAGGAGGAGGGTTCAATTCTGGAACTCCCCGTGTCTGTCTTGATCTGACGTGAAGTTTAATCAGGGTTAACAGTGAGGGGACAGTGTTGCTAGGAAATGCCATCGTTCTCTCCAAGGTCTTTGCTCTGGCAGTGAAGCATCAGTCTCTCTTTCTTTCTTTCTTTCTTTCTTTCTTTCTTTCTTTCTTTCTTTCTTTCTTTCTTTCTTTCT